TCTACTTTTGAGTGACAGATTAAATTCTCGTTACAGATTTAATCATCTAATCGGTCAAATTAAAACAATACTATTTCACTTAACATTTGCAGCTTCATAATGGATCAAATTGAGACTTTAGTACGAAAAAGTAACTATTCCATTTCAACTTGAAGATTATTAATGGATCAAGACTTATCTCACTTAGAAATATTGATGGAAGAAACTACAACTTAAGAATAGGGGGGTGACTTAGTACTGACATCAGAAAATTATAATTATTGATCTGTTCAAGATGATTTGAAATGGTTATTTATATCATTATGTTAATAAAACCCTTTATTTTTTTCTTTATTTGTTCTCATGTATACTTTTAAGTCCATATTCGCTTTGCAATCTAATAGGCTAAGGCATTATCACAGTAAAATTCATAAGGTGTTAATTTATTAAACATAAAAAAAAGATTAAATTTAAATTGGATTAACCTAAATTTTTTAAGTGCCTATGTTTGTTAACAGCCTACTGAGTATCCCTCTAGGTACAAATGTCTTATTTTATTTATTTTTAAAAAAGTAACAAATAGATCTAGAAATATATAATATATATTATATAAAGTACTTGAACACCTTCAGTACTGCAAACATGCCCTGATGATGACCCACATTTTTGGGTTGAAACATTGGAAAATCTCAAAAATTACTGTTTCCTGATTATTTATATCCTATTAAGTATTATAGGGAATGCATAGCTGTTTTTCCAGAGTTTTCACTACATCTTGATTACTATAAGGTATAATCTTTTGATTAAAAGTAATCACAGAAATCATTCTTGAACTGATTTCTGTGGCAAAGTTATGTGATAACAAACATAAAAAAATCGTTGAATTGAGAACCTTCTTTTTTGAAGAATGTTAAAAAACAATGGTATGTTTGGTTTTGCAGCTAATCTTTTAATAAAGAACTAGGCAATAGTACGTATAATGGAAGTATAATAATTACAAAACTGATAGTCAATCATACGCAGCCATTTTTATAATTGATTTATTACTTTAATATATAACACATTAAAATCATTTTTTAATATGTTATAACTTGTTTTCAGTGGATATCATTTTAGCAAAAATCTTATTTCTTCAACAATATTCCATCAGTTCAGTTGTTTTATTTTTATTTCACTAACATGTTCGAGTGTTTCAATGGATTGGAAATCGCTGTGCAGAAAACAACAATGTGTTTGTTTTTACAAGTTTTCCATGCTTATTTTTCGTTTAAAAATTGGGCAATAGCATGTAGAACAAAAATATAATAACCACAAGACATAAAATTATGTACAACTGTTTCTGAGACTCTTTCAAATAGACTAATTAATGGAATTTAATTAACTATCATTAATGTTTAATAAATAGGAGAGTAAAATAAAACAAAAATATTACACTAATTTAGGGTTTATTTACATTTACATAGTAAAATATTATATTTTATTAATATATATATTTTATCTAAAAGATATACACTTTGCAGCTGCTTTCTTAATGGAAAATATGAAAAAATGGCTTTTTTTGCACATTTTTCTTTTTGTACCATAAATATATCTTTTGTTTGATAAAAAGACAAAACATGTACTTAATTAAAAAAAAATTATATATAACACACAACAAAGCATTATATGCAAAATAAGAAATAAAGTAATACTTCATTTAGAATGAAGTTTTACAATAAAGGCAACTTATGTTAAATTAATTTGTATTATTGAGCAAAATATAATATAACAGATAGTTACTGCTATACAATATATAAATCCATTTAAAAAATATCATAATGAACAATTTTATCTAGAGTCTGCAGAAGTTTGATAATTTTGCAACATTTGAATTTTTTATTTTAGTAGATCGAGACCTTATACAACACCCTTAAGGCCAAACTAAAATTATCAATTTCATGACAGTATAACAACAAGGATTTATCATTGACTTGATTATTATTAATTATAGAATATATACATTTAAGAATTTAATGTTGTTAAACAGTAGTAAGCCTCTGAAAGTATAATAATACTTTGAGATGTTTTCATTATTTGATCACATTGTAGCATTATCAATTAAAGAACGAATTCAATATCACATAGTAAATGTAACAGCTCTTAAATACTTTTTTAATGTTTACTTCAATAAGTTATTGGCAATACAATAAGTTAGGTTAATGTAACTGAAGCATGAAATAAAATTAGTAAAAAAATATATTTTATATTCAGAAATAAATGTTTATAATAAACAGTTTATAACATTACAAAGTGATAAAAAAAGATAGTAACTGTTATAAAAAAAAATATATATAACTTTATACAATCTATTTTTTGAACTTAATAAACAAATATTTTTCTCAATAATCTACACATAATATTTTTATTAGTTTAACAAGAAACATTTAATTAATGCTTGTATTGCAAAAATTATTGAAGTTAGTAACATTTTTCAGTATTCAAATAATTGAATTATTTTCTAAATATACTTGTGCAATATTATTAAAGATAATGAAGTACATTTCAGGGTACATAGGTAAACACCAATATGAATGATAAAAAATCACCTTTAACTGACTTTTCAATAAATTTTAATCCTAAAAGATTAAAAAATGAATATTGACACAAGATATTTGTGGAAACAACTAAACAAACAAAACTGTTGTTTCTAGCAAGATTGACTGGCCAGTGTAGTTGTCTGAGTGAATGAGGAGGTGATATCTCATTCATGAAGATTTTTTCCATCCTGATGATTATAATTTCAAAGGTTCAGATATTGCTATTGCTAGTTATTCAGATATTGCTCAAACAAACATATATTTAGCAATAAAATGAAAATCAAATCTGATGAAAATTGAGACAGAAATGATACAAATGAGTGAACCAAGGAAGAATGAAGAGGTTACAATGGTGATTCACTCTGTGATTGGGAATGTTTTACAAAAGCTTTGCGAACACATATTAATATTAGAACAAATATTTCTCATAATTTGCTTACGTATTTACCAGGTGCAATCAGAGTTGCTGAATAGTAAAAATTGAAATAAAGTCAGGAATAAATTATTAAACTCACTTATTACAAGAAAATTATCATAGTAACATTTAATTAAGAATTATACAAAGTAAATGTAGTCTTTATAAAATAATAGGCCAGTTAAAGGTGCTCACAAACTTATGTGGGTACACCAAGGATTATTAATAATAAATGGTTCAATGGTAATAAATGAATATATAAATGTTAAATATTTATTATTTAAATATAATTTCTTTCCTAATCATAAAGCATCATAAAACATTAAGTAATATTTGTTTGAATTTTTCGGTACTCCAATTAATCTTAAATATCTATGAAAATGTAACAAAATACATGCTTTTCAATTTAAAGAATTGCCCAAAAGGCACTGATGGATCATGGAACATGACTATAATGCTATCAATTTTAACAATATTTATAACAATTCTTATAGAAACTTTAACTATAGCTAAATAAATATTTCTGTTTTATCACGCATTCACTTTTAAAATATTTTCATATATATTTAGAACTAGAACACTACGAGTAAATATACAGAACATTGTGTAATCCATAATTCTTCATAAAAAAAATAGATGTGGATATGAAATTGTTTAATGGAGAGGGATCTCTGATAGTCTATATCAAAGATTTGCATAGTCAATCACAAAAATATAGTAAATGAGTTAAAGTTGAATTTGTTTACATCAAAGCACATTATAATACAGAAAATATCAATTTTTAACTCATCCTGTACTAATTCATAGAATATAAAGGCAGAGTTAATATGAATGTTAATGATTTATAATTACATGTCAACCAATTAATAATTTGAAAAAAAATTGTCTTTGTGTCCAAATCTAATTTCTTAGTTAGAAGGTATTTTAAAATTTTAATTATCATTTTGATTTCAAATGAATGAGTGAAGTATATTGACTCACTTGAGTGTCAAAATATATTCGGAATTCAGATTGATTTTTCTTTCAATAAATATTTTCAACCAACTATTACTGTATAATTAAAAAAAAACAACATAAATAATAAATTGTTAAAACAGATTCCAATACAAGTAAAATACCTAATAAGTAAGAAGTAAATTGTTTTTAAAAATACATGATTGTTCGAAATTATCAGATGTCAAATGTATAAAAAAAATTAGAGTAACCTATTGTTTCTGTTTTAACTGTTTATGCCCTCATAACTTTTTCTGTATGTAACTGATATCCAAACTGAAACGAAGTTTTTAAAATAGAACACAAAATAAAATTTAATGGATGAACAGTGGCTTAGAATAATTTTTTATGAGAAAAAAGAGAAACCTTAAACAAAAATTAATCAGACCTTCAGGTTGCCTATATCCACTAAGGGAGATATAATAAAAGAAACAATAAATAAAAATACAGAAGTGGAAATAAACTTCAATAGAGTGAAGGAAATGGCAATCCGATATTGCAAATTTCCGAGATGAAAAATTCTTAACAATTGAAATCAGAGAAAACCTCGAGACAGTAATAGCCTGGGGATTTTTTTCTATAAAGATGATAAATAGCATGTATTTATACACGGAATTATGGATAGATTGAAGCACATTGATATCCCCAAATGTGAATAAAAAGAAAAGTAATACAGAAAAAAGGACTTAATCAATTTTAAACTCAATTAAGGCAATAGCAAAATTTTATATTAGGTGTTAGATGCTGGATGTTTACTAATAGATTCTGAATTCTTTTGACATTCAGTGTAATTTATATATACATTATAAATTCAAAGGTCAATATTTTAATATAAAAAATACTAGAAGACATCTGATTTCAGTAAAAAAGATAAAGGTTTTGAATATAATAAAAAAATGAAATACAAATCCAATGATGACCAAGTTATACTGTTATTTAGGATACATATTTATATAAGTAATTGACTATATACCATGGAATTTTCTAACTCATTTCCAAATTAAACTATTACTCATTAAAAAAAAAAAAATTATAAACACGCACACACACAAAGAAAGTATTTTAAATTACAGACAGAAGATATTAGTTGAAGCATGTATAATACATATATGAGATTCGGAAACATTCATTCTATTTCTATTTCCTATCAATTCGTAATTACATAGTATTTACATATGTCAGGTCTTTGACTTTGCCCATCATACTTCAGAAACAAATCATCATTATTACCGTTTTTTGAAATACATTTACAAACAAGAAACAGTTTAAACTTCTTAACCTTTTTTTAGATACAAGCTACAAAATACCTCAGATCCACAGCCGACTCAATATAATACACATCAGCTAAGTTTAATACATTTAAAATACCTCTATAAACTAAAAGCTTGTTTGTTACTATATTACATGCTAGACTATTCTTCATATGCCAAAGGCATTAAATGTTTTGGACTTAAAAATACAGCTCAACAAACAAAAAAGAAAAATTATGAGAATATACATATAATATGTACATGTTTCCTGTTAGAAGCAGGAACGAGGAAAAATAAGTAATGTACAAGAGATCGTTCTGGAGCTCATTTAGCATCCATTCTCGCTCTTAACTTGGCATGTATCTGAAGAAATTCAGGCTCCTTTTGAGAAATTTCTTTTTCATTTACATCTCTTTCCATCTGAAAACAAAAAAATATTAAATTATTTAAGTTAATAAAACATCTCACACAGCTTTATAATAAATATTTAACATTGAAGCTATAATAATTGAAAAAGTGAATGGTAAGTACAGAAAAAAAAAATGTTAGAAAATCGATGATTTATAGTTGACAAATATATGAAGGAGAGGTTCAAGAGTGTTGAACAGACACATGAAGTGAGTAAAAACATTGATAAAGATACAATACCTTGGGATGACTCTCAATTTAAAAAAAACAAATTGTACAGCTGTAAATTATTTAATTGCAAGGCATTGTTGTAGACAGTAACCACTACAATACTTTGATAAGTGGAGTAAATAAAGGCTTAACCACTCATCTTGAGATAAAATACTAAAATTCTGGAGTATAGAGTGCTTAATTTAAGCTGGAAGATACCGATCCATTAATGAACTATTTAAATGTTATTTCAACTTACGTATGGTTGTCAAATCTTTGAGGACAATACTATGTCTAGAAGATTTCTACACAGAAAAATATAATCAGAGATAAGTTAACCAATACTAGATCAAGTATTGAAACCAAAGTTACCAAGAAAAAGGTACCATAATCAATTCTTAGAGGAGAAAAAGGTATATTTGTAAACAGAAAAATGATATTGTCCAGCAAGCTTGAATGAGATATTGGTAGGCAGTAGTGAAGTGAAACAGCTATAACCATAATAAGGCAAGCATCAAAGACAGTTAGACGCCTAAGAAAACAAAGTAAATCCTGAAAAGCATAAATAATGTGATCCGGAGAGCTATAGACACAAACTACTATGACAGAATAAATAGACAAATAACAGAATGCAACAACTAACATTAAGAGAAATAGATCCCTACATCGATCAAGGAACATAAATTAGAAAATTGTAGGTTGAATTCAAAATTAGCTTGTGGTATAGTAGATAAAAATAAGTCAACAATATTAGAATAAATGAGATATTAAAGATATTATAATTTTAATGCAAAATTTATCTATTTCATGCAATAAAAGTAATGAAAAAATTTAAATGAATAAATAATAAAAACACATGAAAGTTTTAAATATTGAAATAAGCAAATTAATTTTATTTCAAATACATTTCTAGGAGTGTCAAAATAAGCTTTCAGTATAAATTAATTAAACTTACTATTTCTAGCCTTTTCGCTCGTTGTTCAATAACTTTTTCAAAAGGTGTCATATTTTCTTGTCTCTGTGCCTCGATTTCTCTTTTGGTAACTTGTTCCTTGTGTTTCTCCATTGCCTTTTGTAATTCTGACTTCTGATTCAGAACATTCTTCCCCCTGAAAAGATACATGATTTATAAATAAAAGACAATGTATTAATACTGTTATAAAATATTTTTAGCTCACAATTACAATTTTTTATTTAAATTGTTAAATCAGCAAATTTTATTCTCACTAAAATTGATAATTAATGAGATATTACAAAATAATTATTAGGATGAATTAGTTTCCACCAGAAAGGCTATCATATTAGCATGAGGAAAACAATGGTTGACATAAAAATAAAAAAATACCATGAGAAGAGTTATTCATTTTTCTTTGAAAAATGACTATGAAATAAAAAAAAAAAAAAACTAATAATAAAACCCAGTAATATTCGTATATGATCAGAATATTTTAATAAATACTAAAACTAAATAAACTTGAATATTGTATTTGGTGAGTTTGTATTTATATTTTTTATAAATCAATGACACAGTCACACCTCAGTTTCCACTTTCCACTTGTTAGATTTAAACTAAACCTACATAAAATAAAATAGAAGTCTGCAAGACTAGAACAACAAGAAATTCCAGTTGAACTATCTCAAATTTATGAATAAAATAGAATGCGAATATTTGTCGAGTACCTTTCTCAAGTTCTTTCTTCTATTGGAGGAAAAAGCACTTACAGAAAAAAAAAAAGAAAAAAAAGAAGGCAAACAATTTTGATAAAAACCAAATAATAAATTTATCTTGAATACGAATAATAATTACAATTATTACAAAAATTAATGAAAAATTAAGATTATGATGAATTTCCTAATATTTAAAGTTTTATTTTCCTTTTACAGACTTCAATTTCGGCCTGTATATTAATTTTCTTTTCATCTATTTCCAGATAATCGCACTGCTTCACGGTACCTATTGTTCCCACTTATACAGCGCCCTCAGAGAAATTAATTTTCTCATTTTCTTTGCTTATTCTATGAAAGAATTTTTTCTTTCTTCTTTAACGCTAATGGGCATATAGGTCACTGCATTGTTAAATTACAGTTTTCTCAAAATGATGATAAATATATAAATTCAAAGTGAAAGAAAGTTAATAATTTTGTTGTGATATTTATGTTATATAGGAGAGGGGGGATATACAAGCGATATACATTCGAGGATATGTAAGAGGAAATAGAGGAAAATGAAATTTAATCAAATTGATACATGTTTACACAAATAGTACCCTTTCCTTAAATTTTTAGCCATATTGAACAGTCCATTTTTGAAAAATAAGTATTTACGTAAGAAAATGCTTTTACGTGTGCTTAAGCAAAGAGGTAGATGAAATTCGATGAAATTGATATGAGATCATCTAGGAACCGACTAGAAATGAAAATTTTATGAATAACGGATTAACGTTAGCAGACTTCGTGGAGGAGAGAAAGAGGGAGAAGAGGAACGATGGAAGGAAATGCTGCTCTGTCTTCTGGGCAATTCGGGTGTTTGCAGTATTGGAATGTTACTGTTCATAGCAAGACAGTGCTAAATTTCTAAACAAATTACAGTTTTTTTCCTTAGTTGTGCACCGTAATCCATTTGCACTTCCTACCGGTTCAACCTTGTCCTCTTCTCTCCTTCCTCAACTCGGGGGCCCTCACTGGTGCAGATTTTTCTCTTCTTTACAGAGGGAAGATATTGGAATATTACCTACAACCGTTAATCCGGTTTACATTTTAAATTTAGTCAAGTGTTAATTTAATTTTCAGTGCGTGTTGGTAGTATATCAATTTCATCTAATTCTACCCACTATTTTTGATAATAGTAATAATAATAAAGGCTTAGCGAACTCAAAGATGTGATGCTGACTTCCACACACCTCCGCCAGATCAGCCTTTTATGTTGGATAACAGGATGTTGAAAAAACATTTCATTAAAATAATTTCTTATTAACTAAACGTTCAGTGGTTATATTATTATAATCATTTCGATATATTTAAACAGGAAATTTAGGATTTTATTAAGTTTAATATAAAAAATCCTATTCGGGTATTGAAATAATTTTGGTTATTTTTTTTCAGGTAGACGAAAATCTTATCATTTGAAGATTGACAACACATGGAATATCAATATTAGTGCATATTCATTGTTTACCGCACCGAATCGATAAGTCCAGAGTATTTTGCGGGAGGCAAATGTTCTTCTAATGATTTATGAATTACCAAAAGAAATTAATTAATTAATTTATACATTGAAACGGAATGTAAAATTACGTTGTTGCGACGGTGATGCTGTGCACATGAACAAACGTTTATCACTTGTCTCTAGTTTTTGTGACCTTAGAAATATATATTAAGATGATTTTCAATATTCTGAAATTCATATGAAAAAGATGCCGATCTTAAGTCCTATATAGGAGATTATTTTGTTATGAGGTATATGAAAATTTGACAGATATTCTCTCCCAAAATTCCTTTTATTTACTCATATGAGACGTTTCGGGATTTTATATCATATATGCAGACCATTATCTTTATATCCCCTCATTTATCCATAATAACACATGAAGTGTTGACTAAGCTCACCCTAAGAGAAGAACCCACTCAGAAATTAAGGAATTGTTTTAATTTAAAAATAATGACTAATCTTATAGATAAATGAGAAGATATAAATATAATGGTCTGGAGATGGATCTAAAATCCCAAAACGTCACATATGAGTAAATAAAAAGGAATTTTGGGAGAGAAAATCTGTCAGATTTCCATGGAACTAATGGAATAAATGTTATCTTGGGGGCGGAAAAACAGTTTCTGCGAAAATCCCAACAAATGTTGCTAGGAAACGTTTTGCTACTACGAAAAGGTGCAGATGCAAGCGTTTTAAAGCCAAGGTCAAAGTGATAATAACGGATTGACATTTCTGAGATAGGACACTCCCATAGAGAAAACATGACGTGGAAGAAGTAAACAAACCTAATCGGCGAATCCGCTGAGCGAGAAATAAAGCGGCGAATCTGGAGAAAGGAAGATCGGCAAAGAAAGTGAGACGCCTAGGAGCACCACTGACCGCCGGTCATGGGTCACACGTGAAAGCCAAATCGCAATTAATTTCTCCAACCTGCAGGCCAACATTCTACTCAACGGGTGTTTAATCAAATAACACTCAATCTTTTTGATGAAGCTTATTACAGCATAAATTCTTTAGTCACAGAGAATAACTTGGTATGTAGACAATAAATGAGTGATGAGTATGGAGATCATCTTCCAAGACTTCTGAAGACATAGGAGAAATAGAAATGAACTATGGAGTTACTTCTTCACGGTGTTTAGACTTGAAAGATATCCAAAATGTACATAATTCATGAAGACCATTTTTCGACATGCCAAGTTATTCCCTACAACCATAGTATTATAGTATAGAAACATTCGGAGGTAAAACAAGGTATTTGACATGAACTTTTTAGCGAAACCGGATTCCTTAGGTCGATTTAATGTATTATTGAAAGCATCAGTATGAAATTTGTTTCTTATAATAGAAATGTTTGAATTAAGATAAGGTAACAGAAAGTTGATGGAAAGTAAAGCATTGCAACGAACAAGAAATTCCATATTGTAAACATTTTCATTTCGACAGGTATCATTTTTTACGACCGAGAAACTCTATTGTAAGTAATAAATATATTAGGGTAGATGACACTATGACACAAAGCCGATAGATTTCTATCTCTAGAGAATATAATAAAAAATCGAACGATTATTTCTAGACAACCAACAAACAAATTCGTGTCTATAGACAAGTTTTCGGATTAAAATATCTATGCATTTGTTGCATAACTGTATAAATATAGGGGACTTCCAGACTTCCAGAGGCAGACATCTGTAATTATTATCTGTGAGCTCTGGTGTAATTCCTTCGAATAATTTATTTTTTCGCTCATTATCATAATTTGGTCTTCTGTATGTTTTTATTGAAGATTTTCAATCTTATCACCTTATTTACGGAATACGGATGGAAATAGATCTGTTTTCAAACGCTAGGGTCTTCAAATCAGCCATATCTAGAAATTAAGATGGAGTAAGATTGTGCATACCTGATAAATTCTGTAGACAATTCAGACACATATCCTTCATGCATCTGAAAAGTCTCTTATACACGACACCTCGATTTTATATCTAAATCAGTTCCAAGCCTTGGTACACAATTATGGTTTGATGACACGTGGAAATTGAAGAAGATTATAAAATCACGTGAACAGTTCAATTTTCTATGTTTTGTGTATTAACATTTTGTAATTTTTTTGAAAAGGCGGAAATGAGAGAAAAGTGTTGAAGATCCAGAAAAAACACTTTTCTGATGCCAAATCAATCCCAACTTTTTTTTTTGGGTCCTCCTCTTCTTCGCCTTTACTTTAAAAGGCTATACGGAGTTTTCCCGGACCAGGGGATGTGGGCAGGGATTTAAAAGACTCCCTCGGCACCGGGACGCGAACTCGTGATTATTTTTTACCATTTGTCTCACTTATCAGGTTGCCGGGCAACGGCGGTGCTGTGCACACGCGTTAGCCCGTTCGGCCACCCTGCCCACAAAAATCTCGACCTTAAATACAGCAATTTTCGCTTTCGAAATTCAAATAATAGACCATTATTAATCATATTTGTTAAAATTAATCTGTCAGTAACTTCCTGTTACATTATAAGGGATGAAAATGCTGATGATTTTTATTTTAAAAAATAATCATTATTTTTTAAAATTATGTTAAATTCTAATTGCCGTAGAATAGCTGAAAGCTCATTGATTTTTATTATTTTATTTTTTTTATTTTATTTTTTTTTATTTATTTATTTTTTATTTTATTTTTTGTAGTGGGTCTTCGACTTCGTCAAATATCTCACAATTTGGAGTCGCCTTTTATGTTTTCTTCGCATCATTCTTCCCAGAGAAATTCCAGGATAAATGTAAGCAGTTAAGTTCCAATGAAATTAAGTAATATGGTATGCACCTCATTAATGTAGAGAATACATCCAGCTCGTGATTAGCTACAATGTCTAGATAGCAGAAAACAGACAACCACCCACTAGATTTTGCCAATCTGTACGGTTTGAATACGGTTAAGAAGATAAATCATTTTATCGCGCATTAATGTCTTTTTTTTCCAATTACAGTCAAAGTTATGATACCAAAAAAAAAAAAAAGTTTGACACTACAACCCGTGAAGGGCCTTGGGTTTAGAACTATGCAAGGAAGTAGAATATATACATAAAAATATCAGGGTTAGAAAAAAATTAAAAAACTTACAATTTTTGATTAAGAAGCAATTCTCTGTGAAGTTCTTTTCTGTTTTGATTTTCTAAGCAGGGGTTGTGAAGTTTCCTGGGCAAGATAAGCCCCTCGTTAGAGACCGCTTGCCCTTTCACACCTGTCATATCCGCTTCTGAAAATTAAATACATATTTATTTATTAAAGAGACAAAACAAAATAAGAGACTATGGACTAGTTTAATTGGTTTTAAGAATTATTCAAAAGAAATGAAACTAATAGCTCAAGAAATAATCTAAGCTTGTTTATATTTAAAGGTCGTACGTAAAATTATTGACCTCATAATGCCAAATAGAGACCAATTAGTTCATCAAATCAATTATTTTTTGTTCAGATCTAGGCCATGATTTTGATCGTCCTTGTCTATAAGTGCTAATTTTGAGGTAGAGAACACAGACTCAATCTCTTTCACCAGATATTAGAACTCATTACTCAACAGTGATCTAAGACCAAAGGTCAAAGATAGGAAGTGGTGCAACAATTATACCAGGTAATGATCGATTGTTTAAAGATTGAATAGAGAACCTAAATATAAATATAAATGCAATTAAATTGGTAATTTTTTAATAAATAAATTCTAGGAAATAATAAATAAAATAGCTAAAATGATTCATTTTGTTTTTAACTAAAGAATTTTAGAGGGTATAACAAAAACTTCAATGAAAATATTTAAATCATCGTTTAAAATATTAACATACCCCCAATAAAAAAAAAAATTATGGTATAAAAAAATAACTGAGGTTCACAAAATTAGTGATAGAAATTCAAAAAATACTGTAAAGGAACAAGTAAAAACAAAAAAATATTAAATAACGAATACAATTCTCTAGATCAAAAATACGCAATCTTATATATTATTTCTAAAAGGTGTTTTTTTTTTTGTCGGTACGCCGTAACTTCGTCAATTCTTCATAAAATCCAATGATTTACCACTTACTTTGAAGATATTCTTCTCCTTAAAATGCGAACAACAGTCCCTATCTCTCCCAAAATTTTGGGGGAAAAGTTGTGAAGGAAAAGAAACTTTTGTTTGCGAATAAAAAAAAAGGTACGCCTTTTTTCTCGCTTGTGCCCAGGATTATTAGAAAGATTACTAAATTACCAAGTAAATAATGTTAACAGTCTAGCTCAAAAACGAAAAGTCGTAAGAAACTGATATCACGTATTTAAGATAGGTATGTGTCTTAGATGAGACAGCAACCTTTTCCTTAAAATAGGCTAACCAAAAGTGCCACTTTATATCAACGGTGATATAAATTTAACAATTATCCACAAAACGGCTCTAATGATTTTGATTAAACTCGGTGCATCATTATATAATTAAATGACCTTTAATATCATTTAGGTCTTATCCCCATTGAAGTCACTTTGCAGGGCTTAAATGCCAAATGGTCGTATACGTCTTCCTCTAAAGTACCTTCAATATGGTTTATTTAAAAAAATAAAAAATGACAGTAACTATAAAAATTGGCTAAATATGAAGTTTGAAAGAATATCACAATTGGAAACTGGAAAAAAAAAAAAATGCTTATACAGGTCGAAAATGAATCTCCGGAAATACCGATCAGAAGGTATACGTATAATATATCTTTGGAAAGCGGAGAATTTTAGAAAAAAACAATATGTAATATAGAAAGTTGTAGAAGGTAACGGAGAGTGGCAAAAACATTATTAATAATAATTTTTGAAAACTAATATTATTTAATGTAAATCACATGTTTTCAAGGAGATTAAATCAAATTTACTTACTAAATGTAAACTTTTAGAATATTTTATAAGTTGAAAAAGTATTTAAAATCCACCTAATCAACGCAATGACATTGTTAAAAAAATTATTTCATTGTACTTGTGTGAAAGAAGAAGTAAAATATAAAATCATTTCATGGATGCATAAAGCATATGTTTATAACCTTAAATACATTTACTGTAGTTTAATAATTCTAGATCCGATATTATATTTAAATAATTAGGTATCAACGTCCGTTTATTCCGAAATATAGTCATCTAACTTTTTAGAAAATTAAATTAGTGAATAATTTCCTATTCACTACTATAATCCTATAGATATTCCAGCAGTATCCACTACTATTTCATTGTACTTGTGTGAACGAAGAAGTGAAATATAAGAATATTTTATAGATACGTTTATAACCTTAAATACATATACTGTAATTTAATAACTCCAGATCTGATGTTATATTTAAACATCTATCGGCCGTTTATTACAAAAAATCATCAAGTAACCTTTTAGAAAACTAAATTAGTGAATAGTTTGATGAAATTTTCTTTTGTGATATTCCAACAGTATCCACTTACAATTAGTGTGACAACTTTTGACTTGTCTATGACAGACCATGCAAATCTCTTAATTCCGTTTAACATTTTAATAACTAATAGTCGTACAATACATAATTAACGGATCGTACAATCCATAATCAACCGGTGATATAATAAATAGGACTTTTGTTATTTTAATGGTATTTGTGATTTTTTAGCTGTAATTTTTTAGGTTTAGCTCAGTTAAAAATGCAATTAAAAATTTTTATAATAGCTCAACATGGCCAGAAAATAATTTCTATTCTAAGTTGAGCGGTAAGTGAAAGTTGTGTGTTGCGCGCACCAGATTTTTAAAATAAAGACTGAGTGAATTGACACTAACACAAATAAAGTAAAGAATTCCTCTTTTTTCGCCTGGCGTATGGCTGATGAATGAGATACTTAAGGCTAGTTTAAGTTTACGCCTCACACAATAGAACTCAATGGGATAAAGATGCGGGTACTATAATTCATTGAATGCTCCATTCAGATTAGGCGAAACATTCCTTAGTCGTTAGGCCTTTAATGTTTAAATTAACATGAACTTTCAGTTCGTTTCTTCTTAAAGCGATACGTACTGAATGATCTTCCAACCAAACTAAATTCTAAGCAAATCTAGTTCAATGGGTTTTCAAGATTGTTTTTGTTCAGCTGAAAATAAATTATATTCGGTATTATATCAGCCTTCCAATTGAAAGAATGTCTAACACCAATTAAATTATTTTTTATTATTAATTTGAGTGATAATTCTAGTGGACAAATTTATACTTTTATTCGCATTTATATATTTCAACATTGCAATATACGACTCTGGGAATCAACTTACTCACTATCTGTACAGATATGATATGTTGGTCTATTTTTTCTTTTTCAGATTTTTAATCGGCTATCTTATGGACGCATCCTTCATTAGCGGAAGAATTACACAGCCTCTCGATGACTTCATTAATTGTACAAGAAAAATAAACATGCTAATTTTTTCTTTAGGGCTCACGAATCGAATAGCAGGTAGGATTTTTCGATTGAATTGAACCTTCATTCAAAGGATAATCTTGTTATGACTGGTTGAGGAGATAAATTTAAAGTGGAGTATATTTCTTATTAATTTATCTATAATTTAAAAATATATTTTTACTCAGCTATAGACATCATCTGGATTATCGTCATTACTGTTCCGGACACTAGATGCAATGGCTGTGCCATGGCCAAGTCATATGTACTAGTTTAGAATAAAAAAAATCGTAATCTTTTCCTACTCAAATAATACAAGTTAAATCTGTTTAAAGTAGTAAAAACAATGACATGACAAAGGCGTTGATGACCAGGCGCTTTTACGCCTATGAACACCAACAAACAAACAATGACAGGACTAATTTCTCGGGAGCAAAATATTCTCATTGATTGATTACCAGACCGACTGACCGTTTCATGATCGCACTTTTATTAGTTCATACGGCTGTAATTAGTAAAACATCAGTCTGTATTCATCCTTGAGAGCTTTAACGGTCGCGAAAAATTCAATAACATAGGAGGTAACAAACTGCCATTTATGTTTCATGAGTAAGCTATAACGAAACGTGAGATGAAAAAGGGCAATTCACGAAACAATCTTAGACAGTTGGAATTAATGTTAAACGTTTATTTTAGTTGAAATGTGGCAAGAATAGCACCGACAAAGCTATCGGATACTATCAATTCAAATAGTTTGAAGCATTAGTTCTCAAGCGAATGACATGACACAAAATATTCCAACGATTACTCCCACTCAGATAAGGCGAAAAAATATTGAAGCTAAGCGACGGGAACGATCTTGTCATAGACAAACTCAAACCTTAAAAAAGTTTCAAGCTATTTATATAAAAAAATAAATATAGCGCGCATTAAAAAAATTTGAAGAATGTTCCGAAAAAATTCCAACATTCTTTTTGGGAATGTTGGCAGGAGATCCTACGGTATAAAAAGGTCGTTTAAAAAAGTGTGGAATTCTGGATTTAGACAGGCCGATAAAGCGGCCCCTTCACGCTCCAACTGGCGAGAAGTTACGTGATCAACGGGCTGAGCCTCACAGGGTGGCCTATTAGACATTTCGTCAGGACCTTGTACCTTCAACACGCCCACCTTCTTTCCAATAAAATGTTTGAATAAATAAAAGGAAAATATTGGTGAGTCTTTTATGGGGGGTTTGGTTAAACATGTAAGAAATATATTAAATGTAATTAGCTTTATACAACTGTGTCCATATTTTTCCATCTACCCGATGGAGAAATACTGAGACTAGGCATGGTTCAGGAAGTTCGACCGAACATACTGTCGAATTTTATTCATTATGTATTAGTCTCCACTAGTTATAATGGTATAAACACTCAGGTGGAAATATTTTTTGGTGATGCGAGTTTATCCTTGGTTGGTGGGATAGTACTTGATATAATTCTATTAACTATGTTTTACATAATAACATATAAAAGTCAGTTCTGATATACGGTTGCGAAACATGGACACTAACCAGCATCCTTAGAAAGAAGTATTGAAAGATTTGAGAGAATAATCTTCCGCAAGATAACCGAAAAGATCTGAGATTAGAGTACCAACGCTTGGCGAAGGGGACCAATTAAGAACCGTATACATAAATTGATCAATCGATCTCCCATAGTAAGAAGGCAAGGAAGTTAAGATGGAGGGTAGTTCGGATCAATCTATCAGGAAGGCCAAAAATCAGATAGTTAGATAGAACCAACATGGACTAATCAGACAGATTAAGACGTCAAAAGATTTACAAGGTTTGTATCCAAACAGAAAAAA